TAGGATCGATACATATTGTTTTTTAAATTATGATACCAAATATATATTTACACTGAAGGCAATATTGATTGAAGCTTTTTTAATGAAACTTTTTAGTTAGGGGCAATAGTGTGATTTTAAAATATTTTTTTTCTGTACAATTTAATTATACTTAAATGGAATACACGCCTAATTTCAAGTGACCCTCCATTTATAGAGTGGCATGTACGATGTACCTTTGAAACCTTCATTTCTCCATCGTTTCTGAAGCAATAAATGCACGAGTCACCTTTGCTGAGAAACCACAAATAAAAATAATCAGTTTTTAAAATATGGATATTTAATGTAATACTTGATCAGATAAAGCTTTGAAGGGTATTGTTGTGAATCAGAATATATTTTACTTCTTTTCTTAATCTTTTAGTTTGGGTGAGTGCAATGCAATGCAATGTAGGATGTAGATTACCTGAGGAAGGGAAATGCAAGAAGATGTAATATTAAAAGAGCCCCCCCCCCCAGTTGCCTTATTGACTTCAGAGAGAAAGTACCTATCTTATGTGGGTACCAGCCTTGTCCCAGCCTTACAGCCGGGAGAGCGCTGTGTTTAGTTGCGCATCTAGTACCCAACAAACAAAAACCCGTGAAGAACACAAGATTATTTGGTTTATTTCACACGAGTGACCCGTCAATATCCCATGATAATTCATGTGTTGTCGAGGTGAATGTCGACGATTTGATCACGGGTCTAGAACCGAGTTTTTACACGGTGAAAACTTAAGTTTATTTCACGAGATGAACATGGGATTTTTACATGAGAAAACTATTTTTCTCCCATCTACTTGAATTACATTTTTTTAAACCCCCAGGAAAGGGGTGATATATAATTGATTTCTGACATCTAAATATTTTACAAAATATTCTGTGTAAAAGTATATAATTATTACAAGATGTTTAGAAACTATAAACATTTTAGTTTATATCTTTTACATTATACATCTTGAACATGTAACCTTTAAACTTTTCTTATCACAAAGTGGTATTTCAAGTCGAAATAATGTTCAATTATGTTAATGTGTTCATAAATGTAAGAATTCTCCTTCCTGTATATATATAAAAGATCGATATTCCAAAAAGGGGTTGTTGAGAAATACAATACAAAATTCAATGTGAAACTTTTCTATACTCTGCTCATGCTTGTTATAATCTAAAAAATTTATGTCAGTTAACATATTTCATTTTACTACAATAAACTTTTAATTTCTAAAAGATGAGCAGAGACACCAAGTGTTGTGATTTTGCAACTCTGTTAAAAATGAAACATGAAGTTCTTCCCGTGATATCTCAAATATTTTACGCGTGATATTTACAAGAATTAAAATCTAGATATTCTGGCATTACATTACTCATGATTAACACATTGGGAATATGCGAGAGCTTGCACTGGTATCTTTGCTACGAGCAAAACATGTGAAAAAACGACAAGAATTGAACTACAGAATTATCTCAAATATATTACACGTGATAATTACGAGAATTAAAATCTAAAAATTCTGGCATTGCATTACTCGAGTTTAACATGATAGGAATATGCAAGATTTTGCTCTGGTTTATTTTGCTACGTGTACATCATGTGAAATAACGACGAGAATTTACAAAGAATATTTTCGCATTTTTTACCCGTGCTGTACACAGGAGGAATCTTCAAGATTGTGAAAAGTAGATTTACCACGAGTATAACACAATTCACGTGAATTATCAACCAGTTCTCCATCATGCTAATCTCGTTGAAAACCTGTGTTTTGTTTGTTGGGTATACTACAGGGGAAGCCAGAACTATACATAGATTAAACTTTCCTTTCTTGCACAATGATACTTGTTTTTTACTCAACCGGCTAAGAAGACTGGACTGAGGACTGGACTGCTAAAGAAGATTAATTCCCCTCAAGAAGGCTTTACAGGGCTTACAACTCCTCATTTTGCAGAAGGGGTGCAGTTATGAGTTTCCTTATAATTCCCCTAACCGGGAAAAAGTATAAATGAAGGAACACAGGAAATAATTCCCTATACCCTTCTTCCTACAAATCTCCTAATCTCTATTCTCAACCTTTTCCACAACTTGGATGTTCAAAGGACTATTTGGAAAGGTCTTAAATTGCAAACACGAGATAAACAAGAAGAAAGAAGAAAATAAAGGACAGGAAAATTGGAAGGGGTGTTTTCAACTTTACAATGTCTTTTTTTTATTGATAGCGAAAAAAGACAAAAACAGGATAGGATACTGCCCCCCCCCTCCCTTCAAAAAATCTTCCTGAAGTTAAATGATCTAGGAAATGTGTAAAGCCGACCCTAGCAAACATGTGTAAGCAATATATACATAGCTGAGCCTGAGCTGAGTTGAAATACTACAAATTGCCTGGTCAGCTTTTCAAGAAAAGATAAACAGACAATTAACTCAAAATGAATACAGGGCTCAGAAAAAAACAAGATCTTTTTAAAATGGTCCTTCTTGTTAAAATGGCTAATTTACAAAAACATCCTTTTTTCATAATTAGCNATTTAGGTTGAAAGAAATTGTTTTCTATAATTGATTTCTATATCTTTTTGATATTATTGAAATATTGATTATGAAAATTAAGTATTTTTCAAAAATCTACAAATAGTACACCCCCTTGTTTTAAGGTAAACCGGTTTTAGTAATCCTTCTATACTAAGAACAGAACGGGGGAATGGAAACATTCTTTGACTAAGAACGAAACAAGAGGGATGGAACCGTTCTTTAAATAAGAACGCCAAGAACAGAACGGAATGGGAAGACCGTTCATCTACTCAAAACGGAACGGAACCTGACGGAACAGAACGAAACGGAACGATACAAGAAAAAAGGAACGAGAACGGAACGATTTAGCTGAACGATTTAAAAAAGTCGGAATGTGCACAGCCCTAGAGTGGGGGGGAGGGAAGAGTGGGGTATTTTAGGGGGTCATGGGGGGTTGACTGCTTTTTCACAATCCTCTCCTTAAAATACTAATGCCTATTGTGTTACATGATGAGAAAGCACAAAACAAATGTTTTCCTTATTATTTTTTATTTTGTGGCGAAAGACGATCTTGTCTGGAGCTGGATATAAAGATGCTGCAAGCTGAGCGATATTCCTGCCATGTCACCATCTATATACATAGGCAATAAACTGTTTTTCGCCACTATAGACTTAAATTAGCTACATGCTCCAGTGATAATGACAAAAGACGATGATAGCGTCCTGGCTCAAGCTGAACCCAGCTCTCTAGACCATAGCACAGTTTCAGTGAAAGTTCCACCCTTTTGGCCAGATTCTGTGGAGGCCTGGTTCATCCAGGTGGAGGCCCAGTTCGTGCTCAAGGGAGTGACTGCCAATTCCACGAAGTTCTACTACTGCATCTCAGCGTTCAACCAGGAGACTGCAAACCAGGTTCTGGATCTCATCAAATCTCCTCCCTCCTCCAAACCCTACTAAGCTTTAAAGAATCGGTTAGTGAAGTTGTTTGCACTTGACGACTTCCAAAGGTATGAAGTAATCTCTAATCTTCCTTTATCCGGTGACATGAAACCATCGAAGCTCATGTCAAACATGCTTGCCCTCCTTCCTGTTGGCCATAAACCATGTTTTTTTTTCTGCATGGAGTGTTTCTGAAGAGGTTACCTGCCAACGTTCGAGCTCACCTACTCAGGGACGATTTCTCTGATCCTATATCTCTCGCCCTGAAAGCAGATGAAATCTATCAAAGCAGAGTTTCCTCTTCTCCTGTGTACGCCATTTCCAGCGCCCCAGAGGATTCTGTCAATGCGGTTGGATTCTCTGTCTCCAATCGCCCCTTTTGTTCAGCTACTCCTCATGCCAATAGCTGCCAGGATAACAGGTCACAGTCTCCTAGCCTGTGTTATTATCATCGTTCATGAGGTTCTCAGGCCAAGAAATGCAGAGCTCCATGTTCCTGGTCGGGAAACTAGTTCACCAGCAGGAGGATGTTTTTACCCTATATGCCAAGCCTTCTACCTCGTCTCCTTTCATTTATCTACAGGATTCCCTGAGTTCAAGGAGCTTCCTCATCGATTCTGGCGCCTCTGTATCAGTTTTCCCAGCTCCAGGCACCTCTACCAGCTCGCCAGGAGTCAAGTTGCTTACAGCAGACGGATCTTCTCTCACATGTTCAGGTTCTCTAGTTATTCCTCTACAATTCGGGAACCGCAGGTTTGAGTGGCCTTTTTAGCTAGCTCCAGTAGCCATTCCAAACCTGGGTGCTGATTTCCTGAAACATTTTAACCTGCTGTTAGACGTATCAAACCAGAGAGTGTTCAGCACCAATTCACCAACCTCCCCGTCCATCGTCCTGTCTACCACTCCAGACTCCACTTCAGCCCCACTCAAAGCCAACCTTCTCGCCACTCCGAAGTGTTTTGTAAACCCACCAAAGTTGTATATAGATTGTATACTGTATCCTAGTTCATTCAACCCAAGCCTTATCATCAGTTGAGGACTGGGTAAACAAATAACAATAATGTAACCCGTTAGTTGGCATCTGTACCAACGGGAAAGGAAATTTCCAGGAGGGAGCTGAAATTTGAACCCTATTGACCCTGTATCCAGGGAGGATAGATAATGGAACTTTCGTTGGCAGAGAAAGCAAAATGAACAGCCATTTTATTCCCCGGAGTATAATCAGTCTTGATGAAGGAGCCAAGGAGAAGGGTTGATAAGATCTTCAGAATCTCCAGGAGGAGAATTATCTTCATCTATGATTCAAGGATTAACTTTGGTTGATCCTGCAGTTTGTATTTATTAATAATGTAAAATAAATGTCTTTGCAAAGTTGATGTGTTAATCGATTCAACCTGGCTTGGTATATTAAGTTTCTCTTAGTAAAGTTTCCTTTATTGAGTTCTTTATACGTGAGTTTCTCACAAAGTCTACAGTATCACTGACCTCCTCGCTGAGTTTCCAGATGTAGTTTCCTCTGATGGTTTTACAGCCTCTAAACCTCGTCATGGAGTTACTCATCATCTCCTCACGCAGCCCAGTCCTCCAGTATTTCAGACCCTTGGTTCCAGAAGTTCTCCATAAACCTTTATACCTTGCTCTACACAACGTCTCCCATCCTGGCATCAGAAGTTCACTGAGGTTGGTCTCCACTCGTTTTGTTTGGCCTGGATTGTCTCGGGATGTTGGATTGTGGGCCAGATCCTGTCTCCAGTGTCAATGGAGCAAGATACAGATTTACGTAAAAACTTCTGTTCCTGCCATTCTTGTTCCTTCCAGGCGGTTTTCTCACATGCATATCGACATTGTTGGACCTCTACTGTCTAGTCAAGGCTGCTCTTATATCTTAACGATGATTGACAGAACCACTCACTGGCCAGAAGCAGTTTCTTTGTCCATCTCTACTGAGGCCTGCGTAAGAGCTTTCGTCTCAACCTGGATATCAAGGTTTGGAGTTCCATCAACTTTAACCTCTAATAGAGGAGCTCAGTTCACGTCCTCCATCTGAACCGGAGTCTGTTGATTCCTGGGTATCTCAACCTCTCAAACAACAACTTTCCATCCACGATTAAATAGTATGTTTGAGTGATTTCACCGATCCCTGAAGTCTTCTCTTCAAGCCAGAGCTACTGACTCCAACTGGGTCTCACACCTGCCTCTGGTTTTCCTGGGACTCTGTTCTGTTCCCAAGGAAGACACAGGTTTCTCCGTCTCAGAGGTGGTGTACGGTTCTGCTCTGACAATTCCTGGTGAGTTCCTGGACGCCCCTGAACTTCCAGGTTCTCAATTCATCAGCAAGATAGAGATGGTAATAGATGGCTTTTCCACTCCTCCACATCATCATGTCCAACATCTGCCTCCAGCCAAAATTCCTGCTGCTCTCAAGATTGCAAAGTTTGTGTTTGTACAGGAATATGCCAGCAAACCTGCACTCGCCCCTCTGTATCGTGGCCCTTATCTGTTTGTGGAGCGGGGCGCCTCCAGATTGGAAATAAAGTAGATGCTGTTTTTCTGGACTGTTTAAAACCAGTGTTTTCCGACTCTCCAGTTGTTCCAGTGAAACCTCCACCTCAAGGACGTCCTCCTCTTTGACCAGCAAAACAGCCTCCTGACCCATCCTCCACCGTGAAGTCATCTGCCTCCAGGAAGAAATCTGTGATGTTCCTCACCAAACCTGAAGTTAAACCAAGACGGAACCCTCACAGACATGCTAGAGTAAGAAGCTCTTGCTCCGTCTTAACTTCGCCGTTCCTTCTTGGGGGAGTACAGTGGCGGAAGACGATCTAGTCTGGAGCCTGATATAAAGAAACAGTAAGCTTAGCGATATTCCTGCCACGTCACCATCTATATACATTTTTAATATTTAAATTTGCAAGTAATATATTTATTCAGTTAATAAAGTAACTATTTAGACTCGTCGTCTTGTTAAATTGAGCATAGCTAAAATTTACTAAAATTGTATTAAGTAACTTGCATTAATTTAAAATTCTTTCAAATCATAACTTCCGTTCCTTTTCTTTTAATCTACCATGGTCCATGAAACAATCCCAGAAATCAACTTAAATAAGTAAATTTGTAGAAGTCATTGTGTAAAAAAATTCCACGGATTCAGGATAATCTAGGTAAATTTATATCTAATGGATATAAATAAAAGATTTTAGGGTGCAAAAAGTCTGCCAGAGTACTAGTTTTTTTTTCTGGTTAATGTATAAAATACCAATTTTAAGAGTTTTCACGGAAATGACCCATTTTCTGTGACTTACACACTTTGCACAATTTTCCTGACCCACCTCTCCTTTAATTCCCCACCGGGGAGTTGGGGCAGTAAGTATAAAAACCCCATTTTTCAACTTTGAAATGTGCACCCTTCAGAAGGGGAGTAGTGCGGATAGCAAAGGTCAGAGAGTATTAAGAATGCCTGAAACAAGCTTAAAATAACTGATTAAGTGGGAATGGATACCCATATTGTATATATGCGATAGAATAAAGTATGGTAAGAGTGGGGATGGGGTCTCTCTAAAAACCAAAGGTAGTTGGGGTAGTGAGGTTATTTGTCAGAAAGATTCTGCTTCCAGGGTGGAGGTGGGTTCTCTCTAAAAACAGAAGGTAGTTTAGGTATATAGGGTAGTTGCCATTCAGATTTAGCTTCAAGGGTGGGGATGGGGTCTCTCTAAAAACGGACGGTAGTTGGGGTAGTGAGGGTAGTTGGCATTCATATTTAGCTTCAAGGGTGAGGATGGGGTCTCTCTAAAAAACAGACTGTAGTTTAGGTACATAGGGTAGTTGCCATTTAGATTCAGCTTCAAGGGTGGGGATGGGGTCTCTCTAAAAACAGATGGTAATTGGGGTAGTTAGGGTAGTTGCCATTCAGATTCAGCTTCAAGGGTGGGGGGTGGGGTGAGGTTAGTTAAACCCAACTTTCTCAGTAGTTTCTATGCTGACTGTTTTCTGCAACCTTTAATGAATTAGTTACTAAGAGATAGCTAGAAAATTTCAAGCGACTCTCATCTAAAGTAGATAGCACGATAGATTTAGATATTTAAAATCATTAATTTCATTATTGTGAAGCTGTTAAGAAAAAACAAAAAATGTTTTAAATTGCTAATTGTAACCAAATAAATTTGCCGTTCTCATATTTGTGCGTAAAATTAAAACTAGAGAAGCAACAAGGTCACACATTTGTACCAGTTCTCAATTTGACCCTCTGCTCCTGATAGTTTGCATTGCCATGCAAAGATGGTAATGCAGATTTACAATGGTACCTTTAGTATTTTAGTCTGATATATTTATCTGTAATGGTGGTCCACTGCCATATTGTGATAAGAGAAACTATATTCAAAAACGACCCAAACTGAACCATCTAATAACGCATATCACTGCTCACGAGGGGGGGGGGGCTCACGACCAAAAGGTTTGCGGAAGTCAAAGCAAATTTGCACGGAAGTGCGCATTTTGCGCAAAATTTTGCTTTCATTGCTTGAATCCTTTAACAATCTCTTTAATTGTGCTATTTTTAGGTTTATTTTCTCACGGTTTTCAAGGGAGCTCCTAGAGTCAGGAACAAGGTAAGAAGTTTAAGTAGACTATGATCTTAATTGGAGAAAGGGGGGGGGGAGTGTCAAATGATTTTTGTTTGGGAATTTCATTACGACTATTTTTTGGTCTTACAGCATAGTTAAGTAAGGTTGATCTGATTTTTTATTTTCAGAAAAAAGTTATAAGATACCAATAATTGCCCAAGTTTACATTAACATAAATAAAATATCAACAATTTAATCAAAGCCAACATTCTTAAGGCTTTTCCATTTGCCTAGAATATAAGTCTGGAAAAAACTGATAATTATCTCTAAATTCTAGGATGTTTTCTGTTCTTGTAGGAATAATGATAGTGTTCTTCTCAATGTAAGTTGTTATTTCTCACAAACAGGGTTTATATTTTCAAAACTTTTGCACAATCTTTGCAAAAGAAAGCGCAAACTTTTCTTTTGGATTCGCTACATTTTTGCGCGAAAAAATAGCACAATAATTCGCAAATTTAATTCTGCTGAAAATTTTGCTATCCGTTTTGCTTTTGTTTTAACCGTTAATTTTATTCATTCAAAAACGGCTAATCCCTTTTGTTAACGATTTAAAAATTATTGGGTTTTACAGTTTGTTAACATCTATTCAAGAATTTTCGAAAACCTTTGTTTCATTAATTGAATTTTGCCCAGCTCTACTATCAACCAGTTTGAGTTACTGAATATTTTAAACTTTCGTCGATGAGTATTTTTGATTGACTATCTAAATTTGTTTAATACTACACAATCTAAGAAACAAATTGTGGTTTCCATTAATAAGCTTGGTTAATTTGTAGTTCAAAAAAATATTTAGCAAAACCTGAGGAACAAAAGTTAAACTTTGAAATTTTTGAGAACAAATTTGATCATTAGTGTTAAGGTATAAAATTGTTATTATGAATTTAACATTAATAATAATTTAGGTTCGAGTATGGAGTCTTTCCATTTGCCCAGATGGTGAAGTCAGATTATCCAGCCAATTTAAGTTTGGGTAATTCACCCCCCCCCCAGCCGACCCCCCCACTCCACATAAAATCTGTAACAAATCTAGACGCGATTACTATACTCAAAGTCTAATAGAGAACACACTTATCTCTATCTCTAGCCAAAACTCAGGGCTCTACAGCTAAAATCCAACAGTCTCTTCTCGTAATCCACCTCCGCCTTGCTCAGATCTCTGAGAGTATTTCTATCTACTCTCCCCGCTTCCTTCTCCTGTTTCAGCCAGGATATATAGTACTCTTGTGAATCCTCCACCTTATGTCGCTCCAACATCGCTACTACTCTACTGATGGGATCCTGGGTCTCTGGTGTCGCTGATTCTTGCCAGGTTTGAGCAAAAGATTTATCCTTATCTTTTTTCTTGATCTCCGCCATTTCCTTCTTGGTCTCCGCCAGTTGAGCTTGTAACAGTATAAACTGCTGCCTCATCTCCGCCATGCCGTCCAGTCCTGGGTGAGATGGTCCTTCCATCTCTCCTTCTGATTCAGAATCTTCTCTAGGTAGACTGGGATAACCTTGCGAGGTAGCCACTGTATTTCCTGTAGCCACACCTGGTACTCTCACAGGCAAATCCTCTCCTGTTAAAACTTCTCTGGCTAACCCACTAAAAAGTTTTTCACTTTACTCTTCTTCCGAAATAATTTCAGGGTCTCGGGCATCTAGATTCGGGATTCTATTTAATCCCACCGCTGCCACCACTTTTGTAACAAATCTAGACGCGATTACTATACTCAAAGTCTAATAGAGTACACACTTATCTCTATCTCTAGCCAAAACTCAAGGCTCTCTATTCTCAGCCAAACTCTAGGCTCTATATACGTCTGTATAAATCAAAGAGTACTATTGAACTAAATTTATTTATATACAGGTGAATTTAAACTGACCGTACTGGTCATTAAGGGTCAACATGAAACATGATAAGATAGATAAACGAACATAGATAAATTAGAAATTACCAGCATGTTTACAGAATTCATTACAAATCTATATCGTTATGCTCAGCATAAAGTTAATAAAAACATTTTTTCGGGTCAGCATGAGGTATGATGGAAGTTCTTTATAAACGTTTATAATATTTATTCTTTTTAAATCTTAACAATAGCAATTGCATGATTATTATTTAGAACTATTATTTAACAAAGGGCTGGGCTTTTTAAAGATGTAAATTTTAAATTTAAATAATGCTCAATTATCAACTAATTTTTTATTTCTAGAATTACATTTTTTTAATCATCCACTGACCTTTTGACATATTTAGGTCGTCTCTGCTTACACATGGATTCTCTGGAGACAGGAAAAGAAACAAAAAGGTTGCTTTTTGGTATCATTAGATAATAGATTAGATATAATTTCCACTCCTTTTCTCAAATCTCAAGAGGGTTGACATTCCAGTCAGGATAGGGGAGCAAGATAGGACTGGATGTCAAACGGTGAACGGTAAATCTTTCTTATAGGAAGAAACAGGATTGTCAACAACCTAATAGTTAACAAACGGCTATAATTAATGTTGATCAAAATAAACTCAAATGATTTGGAAAAGAAGAAGCAAGGAATCATACTAAAGGCCAAGATGACAGAAAGAGAATTCAGAATGGCAGTCCACAGGAGGTTTAAGTAGGGTTTCCATTTTTCCGGAAAAAAATTTCCATTTTGGAAATGGAATGATCCGGAAATTTGTTGCGTAAACCGGGATTCCGGGATAATTCTGGAATAAATGGAAACCGGAAATTTTCCGGTTTATGTCACGTAAACCGGAAAAATTTCCGTTTAAGGGAATGAAAACCGTAAAATTTCCAGTTTCCATTTCGTAAACCGGAAATTTTTACGGTTTACGTAACGTAAACTGGAAAATTTCCATTCCGTAAACCGGAACGTAAAGAATTTTTCTTATTTTAATTAAATTCATATTTACAAAGTTTGAAAATTTGAAGAAAAAAATCGAGGATCATTGCCCCCCCCCCCGCTAGCTACTGCCCTGCTAGTGGTAGAGTCCCCCCCCCCTCGGTTTATCAGTTACATTTCACACTATAGTAACTTTGAATATTGATTATTGAGTATAACTTTTTCTACCGTCCGGCATCCATCCATATATTGTTAGTGTTACTAACTGGTGTTGTATTTACATATGTAAGACTTTAATGTAATTTTGGTACCAAATGTTCCGGAAACGGGAAATTTCCGGAACGTGCCGGAAATTTCCGGAACATTCCGGAATTCTGTAACGTTCCGTAATTCCGGAACAACGTTCCGGAAATTTCAGTTTTACGGGAAAAAAATCGTCCCGGGAATTATTACGGAATTCCGGTTTTCCGGAACCTTTTCCATAATGGAAATGGAAAATATTTCCGGATCATTTCCGTACATAAACCGTAACCCGGAATTCCAGTGGAAACCCTAGGTTTAAGTCTTCAAATTTCTTCAAACTAATAACAACTTTTAGCAAATGTTAGTGATTGTTAGCAAAATACCTTCATTAGCAATTGTTAACAATTGTGAATTACAATCAAGGAATTTCTATCACAAAGCATCCCTCTGTACAGTTCTGTATTACTGTCTAAACTAAAGTCTTGAGTAGCCTGAAAGCATTGTGTATTATCAGAGAGTGATGTTGATGCAATGTGTCAAAGTGGAGAAAACGGCGGGGGTGTAATTATGACTAAAATAATGTATAAACTTAATTTTGCATTAGCAAAGCATTTTATACTTAAATACTTGAAGAGGGGGATATAAAGGCTTCTCCAAGTCAAAGTTTTGGTTTAAAATGCCTTTTTGCCAATTTTTGAAGCTAATTTTAGAATACTACGATTCAATACCATTCATTTTCTTGCCCAATTCTGATAATTCAATATATAATTGAATAATTGTTGCAGTAGTGGTGGTGTACGTTATAAGAGCCAAATAATTATTCTCATTCACATGGGGTTCTACTTCCTTGCTAGCTCACACTTTAACAGAAAAATTAGGTAATTGAACAAACATTTCTTTTTGATAATGCTTTGACTGTTCTTTGGTTACAAATACTATTTTACTCTAGTTAAAAATCAATTAAAAATCAAATATGTAAATTATATACTTTAGAAAGAACACAAAAGGAATATCTTGGAAGAGAAGGGTGAATCTTCTGAACCTGGGACAGGTTAGTTTAACTAAATAACATTTTTTGTCTATTTAATAGAGATGTCAACCACTATGTAAAGTAAAATTAAATATACCTTTTTGTACATTATGTTACAATAATAGGAAACCTTTAAATAAGTCCTATATCACTATTATTTAAAGGGCTCAAGCTCCCAAGCAAAAATCGATGAGAATTTTGCTAATATACTTCTTAAAACCAAAGCTAACAACAAGAGCATTATAGGTCAAAAATGTACATGTAAAGGGCTACCGAAAAACAGAAGTGAGTTTCGAGCAGTAAAATTTAAGCCCAAGGCGTTGCACCACTTTAAATTAGACCATGTCTGAAAAATTGATGAGACTTTTTATAATTTGAACGTTAAACAATAATGTTAAAGGATCATGAATGATAATATAAGCCTGGGCAACGCCGGATACTGTATGTGTATAATATCACATTTCAGGAAATATTTCATGTGAGGTCAATAATTCTACAAACAGTGTTGAACATTGGGGTCAGTATGTACTTCGAAAATTATGTAAGTTTTAATTCAACAATTTTTATTGATTAAATTTTATTTCAATCAATAACATTTTTTGCAATTCTGTCCTTAAAGAAATTCTGTTCAGCACCCTGTAAACGGACCCATTCTGAACTTCCAAATCTGGCTTTCTTGGCGGATTTTTGTTTTTCTCCTCTTCTCCGTCGTTTTCCCCACCTGGTTCTTTATAGACACGAGGTAAAGTAGACAACAGCTTAGTTTCCTAGTTTTGATTTTGAGATATTGATTTAGGATTGTATCAGGTATATGCCAGATAGGAAAGTTGTGGAATGTTTTATCTGTTAGAGTTGAGTTATTTGCTTTCAATATACCGCACGGTTTTGACTCTTTATTTGCAGACAATTTTAGAGATCAAAGAGATATAAATATTGTAATCTCGCAAAAATAGGTGAAAAAAATTGAAAAATTGAAAAAATTTTATTTTAAACTACAGAGAAAAAATGGCTTACAATATTTAAATATCAATAACTAGGCCTTCATAAAATTGTAAGGAAGCTAGAGAGGTAAATGCTAAGGCCAAAGGCATTACAATACCTTTAAGTTGAACAAGTCTTGAAAATTGATGCTATTTTTCATACAGTGTGGATCTATGTGAACATTTAAAGGAAAAAGAAACCCTAAATATGTTTTCTTCTTCTGAGAAAACATATACACATTACACACACATTTCAGAAACAGAAATGAAAAACTTGGATCTAAATATTTGCTTGGAAAGGCATTCTACGCCTGGAATTGCGTTTCTTTTTATTTTATTTCTAAATCGCGCAACCTCACTATTAAATATATACTGAGCATCCCAGATATTTATGATTTGTTTAAATAGGTGAGCACTCCCTTTAAATTAGGATTTGTTCAGGGAAAATTTTCCAGACCTTGCTCTAGAGGGAAAACGGTTTCCTGGTCAGGAGATACCGAAGTTGTATCCACCTCAACCAAGGTAATATATATTCAACCTAGGTAATATAATTTTAATTGAGGCTCAATCTGTGAGCATCTTCTCTTGGTAAAATATAAAACAATAACAAAAAAAGGTTCGCAGATTTGATAATATATTTTCGCGCATTTACAAAATTTAACACAAATCAAAAAGATTGGACCCAAATGTTTGTATTTTGAGCATCCATAAACCACGATCGGTTCAGTCGTTTTGAAGTTTATTGGATACAAACGGACAGACAGACAAACCAATAGACACCCAGAGGAGCAAAGTATATATTTAGAAAAAATCATGAATATATTCTTTTTAGAAGGGATTTTACAGCAGAGAATTTACTGTGGATTCCCAAGGCAGACTTATCAGCAAGGGTATTATTTCAATTATTTTACAAAACTGTTTAACACAACTTTTGCTATATCTTTTATATATTTTTATTACAACATTTTGTAACAAAAAATACAATGAGTTCCACAGAACTTTGAAATAGAAAAATACTTTAAACAATATTGAATTTGGATTTGTTAGTGTTAAAATTTGCACAATTACTGTTCTGAACTATTTTAAAATTCTTATTTCGTCGTTTATAACAAAACATTATATAACAAAAAAAGAATTTAAGAACAAAAAGCAAACATGTTCACAAATAACGAATTTTTGTTAGGCTCTATTTCTGAAGACAGAGAACGATAAAATGCTAAGGAAGAAGAAAATGAAGAGATGGCTCAACATGCCAAAGCGCAAAACTGTGCGCATTAGACAGAAAAAGCAAGAAAAAGAACCCAGTAATGAGTTACCAATCCTCACGCAAATAAAAACTCTTGTGGAGAAGAAAACCAAGATCTCAAAGAGCAAACTTGTTGGAGCTAGATCTAATCTTTCAATCAAAAAGAACAAAATTTCTTTTGACAATGAAACCTTAAGTGTGACAACAATTGACAAAAATCAAAAGAGAAAAGTTTCAAATCAAGATCTTCAAATAAAAGCAAGAAACAATCAAATATTGCCTCTACACAGTAATCCCTCTCTATTCTAAGCAAAGAAACACTTGCCTTCATCCCTAAATCTTGAACCCTGATTTTGTAAATCTTTAATCTTTTAAACTTTTAAAAATATTAGTTTGGTCTAACAAACAATTCGGCTTTAGTAAATCTATCTTTCCGAAAAATATCAGAAATCTACCAATTTATTTATAAATAATGGATAAGCCAATCAAAAGATATCTTAAGAATATAAAAGCTGTTTCCTTATAATGTGATACAATCTATGACTTTCGATACATTTTTGGAAAGCCCTATGGCTCTACTTACAAAATCTGCAAAAAAAATTGCAAAATTTAAAATATTTATTGCAATATAAAGTTATTAAGCAAAAAATTTGCAAAAACAAAAAAACTTACACGTTTTTTGAAAAGCCCTTGCCACGGCGAATTCAAAGTACATTGAAGTTCAGCTAAGAAAATGAGACCGCTAAATTTATTATTCTAACGCATTTTGTCATGTTTATTAAAATGTCAAAAAAAGGTTAAATAAAATGTCAAACAAATGTTTGTATTTTTTGACCGAAAAAAGATGTGACACATGTTTTATAACCATTTTTCAAGTACTTTTCAAAAATACAATTTTTTAGTTATGCAGCTTTAGCAACCAGTCAGGGCTAGTCTGATTTTTTCACCGACCAGCCTTTTTACCGTCCTGAACTCTACACATCCAGAAAAGAAAAGAAAATTATTTAGTGTAAAAAATTAAGAGAGGTTTACAAGCCCCACNAATCAGATTGGAAATGGTTATAGTGCGCATATCTTGAGACATATTTTTCCGCTATTAATTTCTGAGAAATTATATGTACTTTACTAACTACGGAATTGTTTCGTATTACGTAATTTTGCATGATTACGCCTTATTTCCGCAAAACTAGACTTCATTTTGCATATGTAATTAACACATAATTTTATGTAATGCTCCTTTGTAAGTGAAAGAAAGTGTAACGCGTAATTTCGCGTAATTTGCGCTCGAACTCTGAAAAAAATAGGCTTTTTCTCCGGCCACAGTTTTCTTTGAAAAGTAAGATCAATACTAATCAATAGCTAATAAGCAAATTTAGTTTACCCCGGAATAATTCAAATAAGTGAATGGTCCCTTTAAGCATTTAGAATTAATCTAAAACTAAAGTTTTAATTCCTCTTGAAATCCGGCACAGCTCAATTAAACTTACAGAATCTGCCAGAAAACTTTTGTCGGATTTTCCATTTATTTTCGCAGATTCATCAGACAACTTAGTATGTCTGCAGGCAGGAAAATTTCATGAGGGGGAGGGGGGCTATAAAAATAAAATTATCTGAAATTTTAATATATGTAAGCTTTAATTTTATTTTTTTATTTGGAAGGAAAAAGAAATACAATGCGTCGATGAATTAATCTGAAAATTGATAAATACTTAGCAGTGGCCATAGACATTTAATTTGAACTTCTTTGAACTTTATTTATTATTGTTTATTTTTCAATAAATGGAAAAAGTTTACATCAACTTAAACAAATGTTCTTTGTCCATGGAATTCATGGATTATCCTAGGCAAAGTTCCGTTAACGGAAAGGAGGTTTTCGAAAAATAACGGAAGAATCTGTTAGCAAACCGTAAAACCGTAAATTTTTAAACTATTAACGTTTGAAAGCAAACCCGGAACGGATTTCTTTTTTGAAAACGGTATTTTTTCTCTGCTAGAAATTGCATTTGATGTTTTAAATGTCGTCTTCCTAATTTTGTAATTTGAATTTTGATAAAAAATGTAGAGTTTGTCCAGCTAGTGTTGTTAATAATTTGAAAAACCGTTATCGCCGTTAATACGTCTAAATACCTTTAACGACTGCGCTCACCGCTAACGATTTTAGAACCGTAAATTTTTATTTCATACTGAAATAGACCGTTAATACTACAAAATACTGTTAACGGCTGCACCGTTAATAATTTTAGAACCATTAACAATTTTTTTAAGGCTTTCCGCCGTTAATACTGAAATAGACCGTTAAAGGCTGCAATAGAAATGTAATAGACAATTAACGACTGCAGCTGTTAACGATTGTTGAAAAATTTTTGTTATTGTTGATAATAAAATCAAGATTGTTAACTAACTGTAACTTTAAAAAAAACTGTGAATGCTGTTAAGGAAACAAAGCGTTCTATTCTTTCCTTTAAAATTAACGGCTACCAGAAATAATTCTTTTTAACAGTTGAAATTAGCCGTTTAAAAAACAGAGTTATGGTGAAAACATATAAGAATTCAATCTATAATGTGAAATTTGACTTCAGTTTCAGGGAAATGAAATTACCCTGGAAAATTATGGCGGTTAAAAAATAATGAAATGCCTGTCACTAAAATGTGCTGTCCAAAAAACATGAAAAATGCATACTTTTTTATGAAATTTCCCATGCACCTGTATTAAAAGTAAAAACATGTTTATTGTTAACGTTGATAAATTATTTTAATTGAATAAAAAAGGATTCCTGAAAAATGAATAAAAATCTGAAATATCAATGGTAGATTTGAATCTTGTTCATGTGAACTATGAATATATATTTTTATATTCCCCCAATCATAATATTTTCCTGGCAGTAAATTCAACTCATTCAAAACATGGAAAACAAAATATGATAAAATCTTGTTAGATAAATATTTCAGACCAAACTTTCTTCTGAACACCTTTTTATGCAACTTGATAAAAATATGTTATATTTCTTTACATTTCAGTGCATCTTCTTGACAAAATGAAAAGGCTTTCTTTCGCCTCAAAAAATAGTAAACTTAAAGACTGTTTTCGTTTTGATTTACAATAAATTGTATCATGCATGCTCAGTGAGCTTTTGTTATGCAACAATTTTCTATTTAATCCCCCTGATCAAAATGATTTATAGGAAAAAAATGTATAAGAGTTCAAATATCCTGAAGCAATATAACTTCATCAATATAATTGATAAAGCACGGCACTGCGAACAAAAATAATCAATATATATACTTTGCTTGTCTGTTTGTTTGTTTGTGTCCAATAAACGTCAATGCGGCTGAACCAGAAGACGACATTAAAGCAATTATTAGGTGTATTTTATGTTATTACACAGCAAACAGTTCTACTTTAGACACTTATCAAATCACAAATTTAGTGAAATGGGTCTGTTTACACTGCACAATTGTTGTTTGTGTCTTAGACTCACAGGACTTTTGAGGTCATAACTTAATTCTAAAAAAGTCGTCTTCCTATGTTTTCTGATAATTATTGTAGGTTTTACTAGTATTTTGTGCGTATTTCGGTGTTAATGCTTGAAGATAATCTAATATTATATGGGACGCTCTGTAGATTAAACAGTATTCGTAAAAAGATGTTTAAATTGACTTTGACTAGCATCAAATGCCTCCTAGTGAAGACCTGCAGTCAGTCTTTTATACCAGCCACCAGAACGTCTTTTCCATAAAATTTATTTGGAACTACTTCCGGTCATTACATTTGACAAAAGAAAGCAGATTTTAAATGTTTTGCAAAGAAATTTTATTTAGCTAATACTCGCACAAAATTAATTATGGTTTCTTTCGGATTTTTTAAAAGTTGCATGATTTACGGCAAAAAAACGGATTTGTAATTTTTCTCAAATTCGTAGCTCTAACTCTTTTTATCTTGAATATGTACTTTTTTATAATTTTTACGTTTTTGAATTCATTTCTTCTATAATGATCTTTTGATCCCCATATGAGTGGTTCCTGCATGCCAATTTTCAAATTAGTTTTTCTGGCGTGTCGTCGATGGCACAGTTTTAAAATTTACCGTATACGTTTATCAACATTTAATTTTTGGCTTTACATACTTATTAAAAGTCTTGAAAATTTAAGAATATTGCAAAAATTTAGACTTTTAAAGTTAAGCTTTGGTAAATTTCAACTAGTTTTGATTCCAACGAAAGAAAAGGCTTAGTAAACAATTTGCTGAGCCAACACTAGGGTACAGTGAAAATAGTATGAAACATATAAATATCATAAAATCGCTTCCTATCATCTTATTTCTTATGTAAAATTGAATTCTAAGAACAATTTAGAAAAGGCGTTTTTTGATCGGAAGACATCTTGATTCCCAATTTGGGCTTTTATTTACCGCATTTTTCATGAAATTTACGAAAATCCAGAAACTGTAACTTTGTCAATTTTCTAGCTACAGAAATTTAATTTACCAAAAAATAACCACAAATATCACTTTAGTGCGGACGGAAGCCATAAAAAATGTAGTTTGTTCAGAAACGAATGAATTATGCACACAGTTTTGTTCTATATTTTTATCGAATTTTCGAATATCTTGGTCTTTACAATAGTGTTTAATAAAATCCGCCCTAGACTTATGAATGTTTAAAACTTGGGCATTATCTCTCTATGTTGGAGCCTAGATGTAATGAACCCATTCCTGAGCCCGCAATTATAAAAATTCGGGAAAATACAGCTCAAGTCTAAGCTGTCGTTGGGCCTTATTTACGGCTTGGCTTTTGGATTCAAGTAGCATCTTATTTTCCAAAGAGCTGATTTCAAAAAACCGGTTTCATATTCTTTTTGGTTGATTTTCATGGCAGGAATTGGCGCATTCTCAACTAAAACCAACCAAGGTCGGTTTTATTTTATATTGGGCCTAACTCCTTAAATCAAGCCAAAGATCTTGCAGCTGTCAACCATGTTATACAAGCTGTCTTCAGAATTGGGTCTTAAAGTTAGGATTAAGGAATTATGGCTAGAGCCAAAGTTTTTAAACCGCAAGCTCAGGCCTCTTGTCCAACAACAGCCTACGCTACATCAGTCACTTGTTGAACTAAAAATATAGTACTCTGTAAATGAATTTTATAATCTGGACCTACATATGGCTTTTAAAGAATGTTTGTGAGTTCTTCATTGGAGTGACTACATGTAAATACTGGTTAATGGATAGGGATGTTAACGTTTTCATTTTTCAGAAAAATGATCGTTTCGTTATGATAACGATGACGAAAAATCGAAAACGAAAAAGTTCGTTTTTTAAAAAATGGTCGTTTTGAAAAACGAGCGTTTTGAAAAACGATCATTTTAAAAACGACCATTTTTTAAAAAACGAACTTTTTAAAAAACGATCGTTTTAAAAACGATCGTTTCGTTTTCGATTTTTCGTCATCGTTATCATAACGAAACGATCATTTTTCTGAAAAATGAAAACGTTAACATCCCTATCCATTAACCAGTATTTACATGTAGTCACTCCAATGAAGAACTCACAAACATTCTTTAAAAGCCATATGTAGGTCCAGATTATAAAATTCATT